ACTACTACTGTTGCTGCTGCTACTACAACTACTACTACTACCACCACTACTACTACTACTACTTCTACTACTACTACTACTACTACATGTGTCTTGGCTGTTAAATCGGTGATATTCATAAGAAAGTCGGCAGTCTGGAGCAGTGAGACAACGACAGTATGATGACACGGATTACGTATTCGCAGCTATTCAAAAGAAGCAAGTTTCTGAATTACTCTCTCCCGCAAGGTCTGAATCCCGTCACCTGCAGCGACCAGCTGTCGATATTTTATCAGGATGCCGCTGTTACATTTAACAGAATCAAGGGTTCTTGCAAACTGTTGTCTGGTATCTCGCGGTAGAGAGGACAATGTAATTTCCTTTACTGTGTTGCAACCTTAATTGATCAAATATGTTTTGTGTTTTGGGAACAGATGGACAAAACATGCTGTAAATCTGGATAAAACACGCATGTCTTTCCAATACACTGTAGCTTGAGGTGGACACAACATACATACCTTTCAATAGCGTACGGTAATGTGAACAATATACAGTGTATGGAGGTTTCCCAATAGCGTAATCTGAACAAAACATGCATGTCTCTCGATAGCGTAATGTGAACAAAACATGCATGTCTCTCCATAGCGTAATGTGAACAAAACATGCATGTCTCTCCATAGCGTAATCTGAACAAAACATGCATGTCTCTCCATAGCGTAATGTGAACAAAACATGCATGTCTCTCGATAGCGTAATCTGAACAAAACATGCATGTCTCTCCATAGCGTAATCTGAACAAAACATGCATGTCTCTCCATAGCGTAATGTGAACAATATATGCATTTCTCTCGATAGCGTAATCTGAACAAAACATGCATGTCTCTCCATAGCGTAATCTGAACAAAACATGCATGTCTCTCCATAGCGTAATGTGAACAAAACATGCATGTCTCTCCATAGCGTAATGTGAACAAAACATGCATGTCTCTCCATAGCGTAATCTGATCAAAACATGCATGTCTCTCCATAGCGTAATGTGAACAAAACATGCATGTCTCTCCATAGCGTAATGTGAACAAAACATGCATGTCTCTCCATAGCGTAATGTGAACAATATATGCATGTCTCTCGATAGCGTAATCTGAACAAAACATGCATGTCTCTCCATAGCGTAATGTGAACAATATATGCATTTCTCTCGATAGCGTAATCTGAACAAAACATGCATGTCTCTCCATAGCGTAATCTGAACAAAACATGCATGTCTCTCGATAGCGTAATGTGAACAATATATGCATGTCTCTCGATAGCGTAATCTGAACAAAACATGCATGTCTCTCCATAGCGTAATCTGAACAAAACATGCAGGTCTCTCCATAGCGTAATGTGAACAAAACATGCATGTCTCTCCATAGCGTTATGTGAACAAAACATGCATGTCTCTCCATAGCGTAATGTGAACAAAACATGCATGTCTCTCCATAGCGTAATGTGAACAAAACATGCATGTCTCTCCATAGCGTAATGTGAACAAAACATGCATGTCTCTCCATAGCGTAATGTGAACAAAACATGCAGGTCTCTCCATAGCGTAATGTGAACAAAACATGCATGTCTCTCCATAGCGTAATGTGAACAAAACATGCATGTCTCTCCATAGCGTAATCTGAACAAAACATGCAGGTCTCTCCATAGCGTAATCTGAACAAAACATGCATGTCTCTCCATAGCGTAATCTGAACAAAACATGCAGGTCTCTCGATAGCGTAATGTGAACAAAACATGCAGGTCTCTCCATAGCGTAATCTGAACAAAACATGCAGGTCTATCAATAGTTTGAAGTCGAAAAGACACGCAGGTGTTTCAATAGCGTAAGGTGAACAAAACATGCAGGTCTCTCTAATAGCGTAATGTGAGCAAAAACATGTATTCCAAACGCAGAACGTGAAATTAACAATACATCCATGCAGTGACACGCCCTTGCATTTCCCACGATACATTACACAGCAGTGAGTCAACCTATTTGAAAAATACATACCGATCAACGACAAGGACCCCTTCACACACATATTAACACGACGGAATTCTAACACGTTATATTTAACACCTTACGCATCTACAAAAGTCCCACATCATTTCTCCCAAATATGTCAATCCCCATTCCTGATCACACATAATTACATTGTGGTAGTGTGGTCTTACAAATTCAGTCACCCGTGAAAATGAATTCCGACAACACGTGATGAAAATGTGAGACACCCCCCACCGTCTGCCTTGAGGGAAGTGGGGCCAGGTTCCGGAACACCGGTAATAAACCTATGTACACCTCTCAATAATGGACCCGTCCATTGTTCGTTAGACATGCCTATTCTCCAGTGCTGATTCCAGTCTATATATAGAACTGAATCCACACACAAAATATAGGGTACAGTAAATCTGTCGCGGAAAGCTATTATTGTTGAAGAGGACTTTATATTAATCGCGTTATATACGTGTACATTTATATTCGTATTAATGTTTGGCTTGTAGGTTTATGGTTTTGGGATGGGTAGTTTACACAGATACGTGCAGGACACATTCGTCAACGTTATGTTGTGTTATATTATTTGTCGTTTTGATATCCTGTTGCCTCGTGATATCAAAAAGAATCAGCTGATTGTTGCCGCGAGGTCAGGAAGACATGAAGATACATCCTATAGATGAAAGCTAGTCGGTGTCCGTGATTCAGCGTTATCAAATATGAACCTACTCCATTACGTTGAAAAGAACTTTTTCATACCATGCCAGATGCGCATTAGCGATGTTTTAAATAGTAATTTCAAAGTTCAGAAATGAAACATGGGATAGCCAACAAAAGTACCGATCGGGGTGTGGGGGTGGTGTGTGTGTGTGTGTGTGTGTGTGTGTGTGTGTAAAAGAAGTCATATAGGTTTTTTGACAAAGCATGGCGGTACAACAAAACCAGTACCAGTGGAGGCCATTTATAGTTTTTCAGTTATGAAAAACGAATGCCATGCTTCTGACAGCTACCTTCCGGCCACCAGGTGGTCATGGGTGGCCCATTGGCCCGTTGCAATTCAGTGTGCACACTTGCGTCCCTCGTGAGGGCCAATAATTGTTGGCCGGGGTTCGAGTCCCAGATGTTTGGTTTCTCATCTCCATATCAGAATATCGGGTAGCTACACGTGCTCGATATGTACAGACCGCCGCAATATATGTGGAATACTGCGGACTGTATATAAAACAACATTCACTCACTCGTTCACTTATGAGGGCAAGAGGGGCGGTGCCTAGTGGGTAAAGCGTTCGCTCGTCACGCCGATGAACCGGGTTCTATTCCCAACATGGGTACAATGTGTAAATCTAGTGATTGACATCATGCCCATCGATCTACGAGATTAGGACACGATGACATGCGTCAACCAATATCTTCCGTATTACTAGGGCGGTGGGGTAGACTAGAGGTTCTTTTAAAAGATTCGCTCGTAACATCGAGGAACTGGGTTCGATTCCCGACATGGGTACAATGTGTGAAGCCCATTTCTGGTGTCCCCCGCCATGATATTGCTTGAATGTTGCTAAAAGCGGCGTTAAAACTCACTCATTCATTATGAGGACAAGAATATGAGAGAATTCGTTATATGTTTCTTGTTTATCGCCACAGCAATATTCCAGCTATATAACGGCGGTCTGTATATAGTCGAGTATGGATCAGGCAAACCAGTGACAGACATCATGAACATCGATCTACGTAATTGGGACACGAATACATGCGTCAGCCAATGTCTTCAAGTATTACTAGGGCGGTTGGGTAGCCTAGTGGTTAAAGTGTTCGCCCGACACGCCGAAGACCAGGGTTTGATTCCCCGAAAGGGTACAATGTGTGAAGCCCATTTCTAGTGCCCCCCGCCATGATAGTGCTGGAATATTGCTAAAAGCGTCGTTAAAACTGTACTCACACACTTACGTATTACCGCTGATGGTGTTCGAGGAATAACCTGACTCGGTCTCGTTACAACAGTAGTTGTTTTCTCGTCTGATGCCCCCCCCCCCCCCCCCCCCCACACACACACACACACATGCACACACACACGTGAGTAAAATATGTTAAGCCATTTCTGGTGTCCCCCGCCGTGATATCGCTGGATTATTGCTGAAATGCTAAAAACAGCTCTCTTTTAGGCAAATAAGACGAAAGAATTCATCATAATTAAGTGTTTGTTTTGTTGTTTAACGCCTCACTCAGCAATATTCCAGCTATATGACGACAGTCTGTAAATAGTCGAGTGTGGACCAGACAATCCAGTGATTGACATCATGGGCACCGATCTACGCAATTGAGATACAATTGGCATGGCTGCAATATCGTTAAAAGCGGCGTAAAACCTCACTCACTCATTCAGTGTAATAATGGTCATAATTGTCTGGTGATACAATTTAGTTTACAGGCAAAGAAAGCGGACTTTGAATTATCTTAATCAAACTTGCTGGGACTGCAAATTGGTCCTAGCCAAGGCCCCCTTACAAAACGTTGCAACGGGTGATTTATCGACATCGACCGACTATTTTGCTCATGCAGCGATTTTTATCATCGCGAGCATTGCAGGACATATGGATTTATAACTGCTTACTTTCAATTAATATTTAATACAGCACGTGCTGTTCTCAATTGTTTTCATATGTCAAGACGTCGTGTTCGTGTTGTCAAACATGATTATGTAAGAGAGTTATGTTCGATAAGAATTTCTTTCTTTGAAGATTGAACTACACCCTTATGTGATAAGAAATTCCGAAGATATAAGCAGGCTTAAGATTAAAGAGTCACCACACAGTACGTGTAGCGGTAAATAACAAGCCAAAACCTCTTCTGTGATAAATACCATCTTAACCCAAGCTGAAGTGATAGCTAGCGGCAAGAAATTCTCCGGTAATTCGTTGCAAATGCGCTGTGTTCAGAGAGCCACAATTTACAGCGAGCACCTGCAACCCGTCGCCCCCACGGCATAATAGACTCGTCCAAACTAAGGTAGGTTCGCTGTTCCCGTCCGCGATCATTTGTGTATTGAGTCGATCCACAAGTTGTACCGTTCGTGCCTCCGTTATATAAACGTGGAGGTGGTAATCTTCAAAATACGCAATTAACGTCGCGTGGGATTCCGAAAAGTTTGGATTATATCTGAAAGACATTCGGAATAGACTTGCGTTGTCTCATCTGTCAAGGAGTTTGAATTGTCGCCTCGACTTTCACAGGTAAGTGTCACCAGCTTGCCGTATAGGTAGACTCGACCTTCTGTTGAGTGAAATCTACCTGTGTCGATTTCACGATATATACAAGTGCTGATGAAGGACAAAATGTGACTTTTTGATAAATTGTTTTAATTTTATGTTTAATAATGTCGATGTTACCTGCGTCAATTTCTAGTGAAGTTTTGGAGTACTTTGTGAACCTGTTCAAATATTGTTTGACGGTGTGACATAAATAACTTGACACACATTCCACATAATTCTTGCTATCATCACACACGAGACAGGATGGTCCCCTCGTCAGCTATTCATAACATGTTTTCGTAAAACACCGCCTTTAACAAATAGTCAACCCGGCGCATAACAACATGATTGTTTAAACCGGAATATTTTAATAATTCATGAAATCCTCAATCGTTGACAGGAAATGTGCACTTTTTAGTAAAAGTGGTTTAATTGATAATCGTATATATAAACAAAATCCAAGTAAACTTGATATATTTCATCTAATTCTTTTGTGTATATTAAGATTCAAATTTCAAATCTTTTGTATTTTCATTTAACAAAGATTTTTAATGAATATTCATGTATGACTTTTGACTTTTGAACTTTAAACTATTACTTCATGGCAGAATAAAAAGCCCATGCTACTGACAGCATGTCAATATGACAAGCAGCCCATGTAGTTGCCCAACTCACAAGTAATGTTCATGTTTATTCATTGCATGCATGGCTGCATATTTCACAATGTAGCCAAAGAACCTGGTTGGGCATGTTGGAACAGTCTATCCAGTGTACTGGCTTCTTTTTGAATGCAATTTGAAGACTGAATTGATAAATACTATCATCACAGATTAGATAATAGCTAGTTTCGTAAATTTCGAAATAACTTAGGTTTGGAGAGACAACTTTTTATAATGGATTCTGTGGGCAAATCAGCCAAGATGCATGGGGCAAGATTTAAAAATACATGTACTAAATTATTAGAGTTAGATATGTTGGAGAAAATATTGATATAAGAATTCCATTAAATTCAAGATATCACTAACAAAATATCTGTTCACCATAAAGCCACTGGATTTGATGTCCTGATGAAAAAAAACAACTCAGAATTTTAAGTTAAAACAAAACCCCTGACAATAGGAGTTTTTAAGAAGCACATCTTCCTTGGAAGAGTGTTTTGTTTGTATTCTTATAAAATATATTATTTATGATATCAATGTGATATGATCTCCACATTATGATTGCAAAATGACAGTAGTTTTTAAATACATGAGTTCTGGTGATCAGTAGTTTAAATGGTGTGAAAAGATATATTTCTATTTACCAGGCCCTGGTTAGAGGTTCTGTTTGAAGAAGACTACATATATTGCTAATTTATCAATTACTTCAATAGGTGGAATGTTAACAAAGAAATAAAATTGCAGATCACTTTGTAAAAAAAAATTGAAAATAGTTGGTTTAATTGAAAAATAGGTTTTGTGGTGTAATTTCTTGTTTAAGAATTTAATCCAAGAATTGCTCTCCTGCTGGTTTTGAAAATTGCATTTTTAAGTCAGGTGACTGTCATCTACAACGGTTTCTGAAAGAAAGTGGAACCAGAAAAATATTGTCTTTATCAAAATGTTCTTAACGAATGGCAGTACTTATTAACATGTCTGACAAATTTTGTAAGCCATTAATGTATTTACATAAATTGCATTACATATGTTTGATAGAAATTTGAGTACTGACAGTATTTCACATGTTTTAAACACTTCTACTGGGGAGTACTGACAGTTTCTAAATACACTAAAACACTTAATACTATATCAATAAGGATCTTTAATCATAAGGATATATCTTTCTTACACAAACAGTGGTTACAAACCCTCTTACACATGTACTCTTGGAGCTTCAAGATATTTTGTCTGCTACCCTTTCAGTATTGAATTTGGGCAAGATTTAAAAGATTTGATGTTATTTTACTAAGGCTCAAGTCCACACCAATTTTATTTAAAGTCTATACCAAACCAGAGATAATTTCCAACTTTATATTCCTGTGAGGTGATCAAGCATGTTAATTGCAAAATTGCATTGAAATTAGCAAATCAGTGTTACTGACAGGCCGATGTCTAAATTCAACAAACCAATAAAAACAGAACAATATGGGCCTTAACGAGAGAGGCCAGTTCACAAACCCTGCCAGGAGGAATGCCTCAGGCCATGTGTCCACGACACTTGTTAATAGCGCAACTGACAATGATTGCGAGTAATTACGACCTTGCCAATTTCCTGTCATTATCAATAGAAGGATGCAAATCTCTGCCAGACACATCAAACAACAGTACCTGTCACTTACACCTGTCCAGTTACCTGTAATTAACATTGGGATTGTTCACACCTGAAGACAGACTGGCCACTGGTCAAGCTTCTGTTCACCTGTACAGAGTAATTAAATCATGTATATTACATAACAGGGCTGTAAGTGTACATAGCCTGGATGGGTGATTGCAAGGAATGGGGGGGGGGGGGGCTGTTTATTTCAACACCTGCTGCCGTGGGATGCTGGTGTGGGCGGTGTGATGTAATAGTTGTTCAAGTAGACTGTATCCTTGCTGTTGTTTAGACAGCAGGAGAGTGTGAAAAGGTGTAGTGGGTTTATTTGAAGTAAATATTTATGTATTCTACTTCAGGGCTTCTTGATAAGGACCAAGTGATTCTTGAGTCGCAAGAAGCATGCCCAGTGTATCAAATTTAGCCATTAAGGAAGAAGATATTATTGTATACTTATATGATGTCTTTGAAAGGCATTTAGAAGTGATACACATACATACACATATATATACTCCCTGCCTCATATCATTCATTCACCTGATGAAGGAGTAAGCATATACTCCGAAACGTTGTGTTCCTCATGAGAAAGAAGTTGACACATATTTTCTTCCTTATACATATATCATTTCAAATTTTCTTTTTAAAATACCCAGTCATACATTCTGTACCACACAGGGATTCGATTAACTCTTTGACTTTTCAGAATGATTTTTTAAAAGACTAATTAGATAACAAAAAACTATTTTTTTAAAACCAATCTCTCGTTTTAATTAAATGATTTGAAATATGTAGGATATACAGAAATGTCTTGTCATATCAATGTTTTTTTGTAAGGTAATAAGATACCTGATGCAATTCCCATCTTTTAAATTGGATTTGGAAGGAACTCCCTTTTTATTCCATATTGTGAAATCCCACGGGTGTGTTTGAATTTGGTTTTGAAGCCAATTTGTTATGAGTTCCATCACAAGTTCATTTCTTCAGCTCTTTGTCCCTTCGTCAAATTTAGAATCATCTTTCATATTTGCAGAAGCCCGATCTACCATTGTAATAAATTGTTTTCTATGCAAATGGTTAAACAGGGGTTTCGAATGGCTGTTTGGTTGCTCTCAACACTTCTACTGGAGGGTAGGAGGGAGACAATAAATGGCAACAAATTGTAGTTTGGGGGACCATTCAGGTCTCTACCTATGTAAACGGAGACGGAGTCACGACCTTAGCCGCCCTTGGAAAATGTCATCGCTGACAGGGAATTCTGGGGGATGGAGCGTGCACTAATTCTTTTGGCCATTCAAACCTTTAGCCCTCTAAACAGCAAGGGTGAAAAAATATTGAGCCATTGTTTACCCTGGTGATCAGAAACGTGAAAGAATGCCTCAGGCCTTGAAAATTGTTGTTGAAAATCTGAGAGCTTTGTTGTTCAATTGTGCTTTTAAAGTGGTGCGTTTGGCTTTGTGCACTTATAGTTGCATACGTAGATAGAGCAGATTAAGTAGGCTGGGGAGGTACTTACTGGATGGATTATGTAAATACTGATTGGTTTGTAGTGAAAGATCAAGGTTAATGCTTTGTTTGAGTGTGAGAGGGTTTTTAACATTGGGAGAGCTCTCACGGGGGATGTGTTGAGTTGTGGTGTTAACAGGTTGTAGATTATGTGCAATCTGTGTAGAATCTGAATGTCTGTATGTGCTTGCATGCAATACTTTCATATTCAGGGATACTGTGTAACCTGTTTTATCTGGACTGAACATTTACAATTGTTTGGATTAACAGGTGTCATGGATCTATTCAGGAATGTTTATTCAAAGCACAGATGAACCTATGAAATAAACTGTATTTCTTAGCCACATGTTGGAAAAATACATATTCTCGAAATATTTTTATTTCAAAATTACATATGTTGACAAAGAGAAATTAACATTACTATCATGCAAATTAGTAAATATAGAAAGAAAATTATTTGAATTAATAAATAATTAAATTTAAGTAATGTCTCATTTTTTAGTATTCTACTTATTAAAATGATATAGGGTATGCAATTTGAAATGATAAAAAGGTTTTATAGATTTTGAAATGTAAATATTAAACAATATTTAAATCAAAGTAAAAATTGAAAGGTAAATGGTGTGTAAAATGACAATTTGACAGAACATCTAATTTTGTTGAATTATTTTAACAGCAGGACTTCTGACAGGCTCTTGTTCATGATGATTTATTTTAAACTGCACTAAATTGACGAATAATTTTGTGATGCATTGACCTCGGGGACCAAAATGGAGTATATTTAATTGGTTAAGTGCCAGTTGGTATGTTTGATCTATAATACACACTGTGTCCTTCCGACATGGACTCAGCTCTATATCCGGCCTCTGTATCACATCACAAAGGCATCTGTTACACATATCATCCACATCAATGATTGACAGCCTATGAAATTGATTTGCATCAATTTCGCTTTTCCTCATGAGTTGCTTAAGATGTGATGACATTTAAGGAGAGGTGAGTTACTGTTATTCTCTTTGTAAAGAGAGATTTCACTGGAGTTTTTTCTGTAAAGCATTCAAGACATTTGAACACATGCTTCATAAAGAACAATGTATCATATTCAAAGAGTTGGCAAATGACATGGCTTTTGTTTGAATGCAATATATATTGCTCTTCATATGTGAAATCAATATTTTCCAAGGTAA